ATTAAGAATGTGTGCTTTGCCAGGCAAAGGTGGCACACACCTTTAATCCCAGTACTGGGAGGCAAAGAGAGGCAAATCTCTGAGTTCAAAGTCATCCTGGTCTACAGAGCGAGTTCCAGGACAGCCAGGGCTACATAGAGACCCTGTCTACAGAGAGACCCTATGTTGAAAAGCAAAACAAGTTCATGCTACTATACTATCATAGAGTAATACTTTCCAGAGCTCATACCGCCAAGAAATTATGGTCAAATCAGCTTCTGAAATTTGCACTTCCAGAACCAGTAACTTCCTTAATTACTTTCCAAACAATCATTGAATTTCTAAGACCAGTTTTGGCCTAAAGTGCTTGATGCACAAGCAGAAGGACCTTTGTGCAGATTCCCAGCATCCAGTACAAAGCCAGCCTGGCACAGGGGAAGCCCAGCAGCGGGGAAACTGACAGGAGGATCTTAGGGCTTGCTGGCCAGTCATTCTGACCAATCGGCGAGCTCAGGGTTCAATCAGAGAACCCATTTCAAAAAGTGAAAAGGTGAAGCAAGCGCAACAGAGTCACACCTGACCTCATCCTCTGGCCTCCACCTTCACTACACACACACACACACACACACACACACACACACACACACACACACACACACACACTACTCAATTATCCAAACAGCTAATATTTATTATTAAGTAAAATCTGATCCCAATTTACTTTGTAATACTCAGAAAGCAAATGAGAAGTGTGTTCTATATAAAGAGAGCTCATTGTACTACCTGTCTTCATTATGCATCCCCTACCTCCTTTAGGTGCTTAGCACTTACTGGCAAAAAAGCATAGACCCCTGCCCCATGTAACTTATTATTTAAATGATCTTAGATCCACTTTTTTGCTGTTGTTTGTGAATGGTCTTGCTATTTGAACCTGTGGTCCTCCTGCCTCAGCCTCTCAGTTTTGGAATTAGAGGCATGAGCCACCACATCACACTCAACTGTGACTTGAGATTCACTTTGCAGTTGGCTAAATGTGAAACATACTAGTAATGTTTTTGCAACAGTTTCAATAAATCCAATCATAAAAACATACATACTCTCTAATATGAACATGTAAGAACTGAAAGTATACAGAACAGCACGAACAATGGTCCTGGTGAGCACTCTCACAACCATTAACCTATAAAATGCTTCTTCAGAGTCAGCCAGTAACGACCAGCCGGGCGGCGGTGGCACACGCCTTTAATCCCAGCACTCAGGAGACAGAGGCAGGCGGATCTCTGTGAGTTCGAGGCCAACCTGGGCTACAGAGTGAGATCCAGGAAAGGCTCCAAAGCTACACAGGAAAACCCTGTCACGAAGAAAAGAAAAACAAACAAACAAACAAAGAGCTAATGACCATGCTTGGAACATGAGGGCTGCCTTACTTGTGGCCTGGTCCTTCAGTAGGCTTGAAAGGTGACTACTTCACAGTTGCAGGTGTGGAGGCTCACCTTGTATCACAGTGGTGAATGCCCACCCAGAGGAGGAGACAGGACTCTGGCCCACTAATAATACCTAATAGTTTAACTGTCCTAAAAGTGATAAACATTCAAAGTATCTCTAGCTATCTGTATATCAATTGGCTACTTTTCTGTTGTTTAGACATACACTATCACTATAGTGGCCAGTAGTCACATCTAGCAACCAAACAACTGAAATATGCTAATATAAATTGAGATGAGTGGCCCATACAGCTCCCACACTAGAGGAAAACAATGTAAAATATCTCTGTTTAAAACAGGCTGCATAAAAGTACATCTTTGATGAGTTAAAGCACATTATTAAATTTTTCCTTTGTGACTACCAAAGCTTAATTACATGGGTAGCTCACATTTCTTTCAGACAGCACTCTTTTAAGACAGTAGAAGAATTAGAAATCTCTGCACACATGAATGTGTTTGAGCTGGACTCTTGAATTGTCAGAATTGTGTTCATTTTCTCAGGCTACTTTATTCAACATCTCATATCAAAACATCAGATGTTTTTATATCAAGATGTGTAAAAGTCAGAGGTTACAGTAAAATTATTTAGCAAAGCATCAACAAATATTTAAGTGGCCATTATGTACAGGACACATTCAATCCATAAAGCAACACATTCTGCCACACACCAGTAGCCCAAAGGCCATAAATTCTGCACAAATCTGTACTGTGCTCCTACAAAATACCTGGCCCTGTTGCTAAGTGCTTTGCTCTCCACGACCTATAAAATCCTCGCATCATACATGGTAGATACTTTGACACAGTTTAATACTATTTTAAGACATTGTAGCCGAAGTTGCAGTTAGTAACCTGTGGAGCCAGGATTCCGACACAACAGGTTACATTTGAAACAACAAAGATGGATGGATCAGGACTGGAGATGTAGCTTAGCAGCTTGCCAAGCATGGGGCTTCTTCAATCTCCAGTACCTGGAGGCAGAGAGCTGGAGAGCTGAGGATCACCTTTCACCTAAAAACTTGGCTTCCTACTTTCCACCTCACCCTTCCCAATGGCAGGGTTTCAAAACCTGACCACACATTAAATTCTCTCTCAGAAAGGCTGACCCCCACTCTGACCCAATTCATACTTGTCTTTCAGGCTTCGTTTTAAACTGTCCACGCAAAGCTACTCAGATTCCCCATAATTCCTTCCTCTCCTCACTGGAGAGCTTTGCACACTACTGTGACGGTCTTCATCACAACAGTCAAGGGGTCTATTGTATCCACCACTTATTCCCAATACCTGTAACAGTGCCTAGCGTTGGGTGCTCAATAAATATTTGCTGATCGAACCACCTGACTCACCCAGGTACACCTCAAGGCAAACCCGGGGCCCTAAGCGCTAACCCACAAAGCAGAGGGCGAGTTTAAGCTTCCTGACATTTTGACAGTCCCTCCCACCAGTAAGGCAAAGCAACCTATTTTAAATAAAAACGTGTTCACTTTCGTGTCAGTATAACTGGTTTTATACGAAGAAGTTTAAGTTACTGATAAACACCTGTCACGAGGAAATCCAAGTCGATTTCAGTAATAGTACAAATTGGTTAAAACCAGTTTGATTTTCACAATTCTTAAGAGCTGAAAAACCACTACAGCTGCTTCTCTAAGTAATCTCATCATGAAATGAGTTACATTGACCACAAGTTTTCCTGCACTGCCCTAATACTGAAGCTGAGGTCCTCCAAACATGATAACAGACACAGGATACTTTAAAAAAACTGGGGGCGGCAGTGGGGAGGGGATGTTTCGTGTACAGTTATTTTGAGAAAATTAATACTGGTGCCGGAGTCAAGACGACTTTCTTGGAACCTTCCCTTTTCATTTCCGAAACAGGAAACCCATTTAAAAGGTCAACCTCCCCCTCTCAGCTTTTACTTCACACCAAGTAATTCCTAAATATGTGGTAGAAGTACATCAGGAGTCCTTAGGGCCATGACCGGCGAAACATTTCCCAAACACGAGAACTCGACTTGATTCCATCGGATGGGAAGACAGAAACCGACCACCTCCCTCGGACTCCTGCTTCTGTTGAGGCCCTGAAAAAGCACTGTGAGCCAATCACGCCAGATTCCCACCCCAAGCACGAAGAGCCTCCAATTGTTCGACACATCAATGGTTTAGTCAAGAGAGCCAACTCACTCCCCCCACCCTCATTTTCCTTAATGATTCTGCAACTCTCAAGTTTACTCCAAGTTACAGCCAGATGGAATATTCTCTACGGCCCCGCATATAAATTCAGGCCTTGACCACACCAGCCAGTTAATGCTTCGGTCCCAACCACTAAAATAGGCCTATTACAAACATCGCATCCAGTAACTTCACCCGGCTATGGAAAGGCCAGTCAAGTTACTTCAAGAAACAGGATTCTGGAACGCTGCTAAATGCTGCCTATTTTGTGCCAGCAGGCAGCGAACGGAGAAGGAGACTTGAAAAGCAAAGACCGGATGGAAGGCATGGGAAGACCCCGCCCCAGCTAAGCGCTATTCCGATTCCAACAGTAACTTGGGTCTGTCGTCTGGAATCGGAATCACTGGAACAAAGGCGTAAATTCCGGGAAGCAAGATGTCTCGGGTAAAAGGGAAAGGCTCGCGGCGGCAGAGCCCCCCGACACCATCCTCCCACGGGTCTTACCTATGGTGGAAATAAAGGTGGTATTGAAGGCATCATCCGAAAAACGAAAAAGGACGCAGGTCTTGCCCACTCCCGAGTCCCCGATCAGGAGCAGCTTGAAAAGCAGGTCGTACGTCTTCTTCGCCATTGGGAGGAGCGGCTCGGGCGCTCGCCGCCGCCGCCGCCGGTAGTAGCCCCAAGGGATCGGTGCTGCTCACCACCGCCAAACTCCTCGCCCGGGCGTCCTGGGGCCGCAGCAGCGGGGAAGCGGATGCCAGGGAGGAAGCTGCTCTCGAGGCGGAGCGGGAGACCTTCCGAACGGCCTCGTCGAGGAAGCCCCGACGGTGGCGGCGCCCGTGCCTCCGAGGGGCGGCGCCCGCGGCTCCGCAGCCTCTCCCAGCCGCTCCGCCCGGTTCCGGGGAGTCGGTCGGGACAAAATGGCCTCCCCTCCCCCCCTCAGCGCGGCTCGGCCGGGACGCTCCCACGGGCGGGCGAGCGAGCTCGACGTCGAGGGAGCGCGGCGGGCTGGGACACGGCCTCCGCCCGGAGCACCGACCCCGCGCTTCGGACCCGGGCGAGGGCGGCCAAGGAGGTCTCGCGAGCCGGCGAGCCCCTGCTACATAACCCCAGGAAGCCGAGCCGCCCCGGCCAGAGCCACCTTTTTCTCCCGTGCCCTCTCACGCCGGCGTGCGCGCTGCCTGAGACGCACGCAAGGACGTACAACCCGCCCTTCTCTCGCGCCCTCGCCCCTGCGGCCCGCTTCCGCGCACGCGCGCGCGAGGGCATGCAGGGCACGCGGAGGTGGGGCCAGAGAGGGCGAGGCCGCGGGCGCGCTCCCTGCGGCCTTCTGATTGGGTCTGCCGCTGACGGACACGCCCCGCGGCGGGTGGGGGCGCGGCCTGGGAACGGCGCAGGCGCACTACGGCCCTGTAGCCCCTGGCCGTTCCCCCCGCCCCCGACGCACACACACCTTGCCTTTTCCGGGGCGCCCTGCTGATTGCTGGGATCCTCTGCTCCCCTTCGGTCTCTCCTGTTGTGGAGCTAAGGATGTTGGCTCAGCGACGGGCGTGGGTGGCCACGCGTCCCTGTGTGTGTGTGTGTAGATCGCAGATGAGAGAAAGGAGTGTCCTGGGCCATTCAAGAACCTCCTTACTAAAACCCGTGGTGACATCGCGGCCTCCTTAAGGAGCTAGAGTTCGAGAGGAGCCGGAATTCCAAACTGAAAAATCGCAGCGCCCCTGGGATCGGAATGATGTCATCGGCCTGAGGAACCCCGGGTGCGGGGAGAACCTCCCTGCGAATGGAAGCCTCGCTGCTCCAGGCCTAAACAGCCCTTGGAATCCCCGGGAACCGGAGCGCTCTAGACAAGAGAAGGCGGTGGGGCCCGGGTCGCGGTTGCCAAAGTTGTAGCACTAAGTCGAAAATCCAAAAGCCTGCCCCATCCCAACCGGTGGCTTTCTTACTGTTCACTTGTTTGTGGGGTTGGTTATTTTGTTGCAAAGTCTGGCTATGAACCCCATGCTGACCTCCAGTTCATGATTCTCCAGTCTCAGCTTCCCGAGTGCTTCTCTGGTGGGCTTGCACCACCAAACCCGTGCCGTGTTTTTTCATCTGCCTTACTCCCTTCTTCCCTCTCTCCCTGTCTGTCTTATTTACACTTCCCTTTTCTAGTCTTCCTTTTCTGTAGTCGAAATAGCCACGTCTCTAACCTACCTTTCTCAGTATGTTCCATCACTCCGGCACATGCAGGATGTGATGGTAGAATGGTCAAACCTGGTGAGCTGGTTCAACCTGGGACATCTACAAACCAATAAAGAGATTTTCTTTTTTTTTTTTTTTAAAGATTTATTTATTTATTATGTAGACAGGAGAGGGTGCCAGATCTCATTACAGATGGTTGTGAGCCACCATGTGGGTACTGGGAATTGAACTCAGGACCTCTGGAAGAGCAGTCAGTGCTCTTAACCTCTGAGCCATCTCTCCAGCCCCAAGAGATTTTCTTAAAGAGAAGTAAAAGCTACACGTTAACGCACATCTCAACCATCACCAAAATGTGCATTTCATGTGTAACCTAAATAAGCCTTTGATCATGTTCTTTTGTGACCATCTCATCTCAGTGGTGGTCATGTTCTTAAAAAGATTTTTCGCTGGACAGCGGCGGCGCATGCCTTTAAATTCCAGCACTCCGGGAACAGAGCCAGGTGGATCTCTTGAGTTTGAGGCCAGCCTGGTCTACAGAGTGAGATCCATGACAGGCACTAAAACTATACAGAGAAACCCTGTCTCGAAAAACCAAAGAAAAAGATCTGTCTTCCTTCTAAATACCCCTAAAGCTTTGGACATGTTTGCGTTCTCTAAACCATCTCCCTCCAGTTGATTCACTGATTGGTCTTAGTTTTATCATTAAACTATATCCTGTGAATCATTCTTCCTCCAGTTGGGAATGTCTTACGATAGCTTAGGTCAACAATTCTATGTAAATGGCAGGTAAGCGCTGGCCTTGGGGATTTGTCATTCAGTCATAATTCTGAGCACCCCAGAAAAACCCTCAAGGAGCTGGGGATATAGCTCACTGTGTAGAGAGACTGCTTAGTATAAATGAAGCTCTCCGGGTTCAACAATCTCCTGTTTTCCCCCTCCCAGATCCTGAGTTTGCTCGTGTATGCTGCCACACCCGCTTGAATGTTACTGGCTTTGTTTTTATGGTAGCTGAATTTAGAAAGCAATGCCATCACATAAGTTTGGGAAGTAATGCACGGCTAAAAATAATTATTTTTTAAAAAGGTTTCATTCTATATCCCAGTTGTTTTCAAAATCCATAGTCTGAAATTTTCCAGATTATTTGGTTTATTAATATTAATAATTATTAACAGTTGTTTTTATTCTTTGTTTGTTTGTTTGGTTTGGTTTTTCAAGACGGCTTCTCTGTGTAGCTTTGGTGCATTTCCTGGAACTCACTCTGTAGGCCAGACTGGCCTCAAACTCACAGAGATCCACTTACCTATGCCTCCCAAGTGCTGGGATTAAAGGCATATGCCACCACCACCCGGCTCTGTTTTTATTTTATTTTATTTTTTAATTAATTAATTTATTTATTTATTTTTGGTTTTTTCGAGACAGGGTTTCTCTGCGTAGCTTTGTGCCTTTCCTGGATCTCGCTCTGTAGACCAGGCTGGCCTCAAACTCACAAAGATCCACCTGCCTCTGCCTCCCAAGCGCTGGGATTAAAGGCGTGCGCCACCGCCACCGCCGCCACCCACCCCCCACCCCCAGCTGTTTTTATTCTTAAATCAAGATCATGGACTATTAGAACTGTCCCATCTTAGAGATCATAGTTTTGTTTGGATGTGGTACACATGTCTGTAATCCTAACGTGTAGGAGGCGGAGGCACAGGGGTCAGCTGATCCAAGCCAAATTCTGGCAGTTATTGAGCTGTAGACCCTGTCTGTCTCACTCACCCTATCCCACCCCAGCCTCACAAAACTAAAAAAGGAATTGACTCTTTACCTGGTGGGAATTGAACCCTTCTCTCCATGGTAGGCAGGAGATTCCCCAACCTCTTTCTCTTGCTCTGTGTGTGTGTGTGTGTGTATGTGTGTGTGTGTGTGTGTGATCTCTACTCCTTGGTCACTTTGTTCTTCATAAGAATGGCATTTTTGCTTGAAAGGTGGGTCAGCCTTGCTGCGTTATCACCTGACTGTAAAACCTGCTTCTTCCGGTCTCTAGGACTTTGCCTATTTACTACTGTCCATTTCCTGTGCTCACACCCACAATCTTCTGCAGGGACTTCCCTGGGGAAGGTTTCCATTAGACTGACCTGATTGCCAGGAGGTCACCACTGTTGTCATTGCCTGCCTACCCGATGGCAGCTGGCGTTGAAGAGACTGCGGGTCCAGTGAACTAACTACCCTAGCCCCTCCATCTCTCTAGAAAGCAGGAAGAGTTCTCTTTCCCCAGTTATTATTTTATCTTCCGGATTTCAAGGTTAGTGTGATGTAGTTTTCTCCTTGTAAAAGGTACCTCAAATCACTTGCTAGCCCTTCAGCCTTGAGCTTAACTGTTCTCACCATAGCAACTCCTGCTGTTAAGTAGTTTGTGGACCCTCTGAACTCCTTTAGTATTTCTCAAAATCAGTTGTATTGTGGGGTGTGGTGGTATAGCCTATCTAATACCAGTGCTTCGGAGGCACAGGCAGGAAGGTCAGGGTAAGTTCAAGTTCAAGATGGAGACCAGCCAGGGCTGCATAGTGACACTCTATTTCAAAGAACAAGAAATAGATTACATTTTTAATTTATTAACTTCACAATTCATAAATATTTATTTTAGAAATGCCATGGTGGCTCATGCCTGCAATGCTCACTCAAGAGGCTAAAGATGGCTGATCTCTGCCAGTTCTAGGTCAGCCGGGGCTACATAGTGAGACCCTGTACCCCCACCAAAAAAAAGTCACAAAAAGTTTTTTGGTTTTTCAAGACAGAGTTTCTCTGTGTAACAGCCCTGACTGTCCTGGAACTGGATTTGTAGACCAGGCTGGCCTTAAACTCACAGAGATCTGCCTATCTCTACCTCCTGAATGCTAGGATTAAAAGACATGCACCATCACAGCCCAGATTATTTTCAGATTTTTTTTTATAATAAAGCTTGTTTAAAAAAAAAAAAAAAGGACTTAAAGAGCAAGTGGAAAAAATAACACATTTTGAATAATTTTTTTTCATCCCTTAAAATATTAATTTTAGGACCTACATGAAGAACTCAACTCCACTGAAAGGTTTATTTATCTTGTTAACAAGATCAATGTTAGCCAGGCGGTGGTGACGAAGGCCTTTAATCCCAGCACTCGGGAGGCAGAGGCAGGCGGATCTCTGTGAGTTCGAGGCCAGCCTGGTCTACAGAGTGAGTTCCAGGAAAGGCACAAAGCTACACAGAGAAACCCTGTCTCGAAAAACCAAAAAAAAAAAAAAAATCAGTGTTAAGGCTCATTAGGCAACTGTGATTCGGCAGAATGCACTAACTTGCAGCCAGACAATATATCTTCCAGAACTAGCTTGCAGCGACTGACTCTGTAATAAGGGACGACTCATTTAACCTCATTCAGCCTATTCCACTCATGTACCAAAGGGCATTTTACTCACAAGATTGTTTCAAAATTAAATAAGATGATGCCTGCTAATATGCTTAGTATGGGCAGAAGAGCACACAAAGGTAAGTTCTTTCTGTCATATTAAGAAGCAATGAGTTATAAAAAGGAGCAAAAACATTACATTGTTAGAAAACATGAATTATTGCCCAATGGTGCTGGCAGAGTTGGCTCATGCTTTTAAACCCAGCACTCCAGAGGCAGAGGCAGTCATATTTCTGTGAGTTAGAGGACAGCCTGGTCTACAGAGTGAGTTCCAGAACAGTCAAGATTACACAGAGAAACTCTGTCTTGGAAAAAAGAAAAAAAAAAGAAAAAAGAAAAAAGAAAGGGAGGGAGGGAGGGAAGGAAGGAGGAAAGGAAAGGAAAGGAAAAAAAGAAGAAAAAATTATCAGAGCAACAAGCCATCTAGGAGGAAAAATAGTCACAGGAACTTGAACTAAAAATAGAAATGTGGGCTGGGGGAGGGGATCGGAGAGCCGGCTCAGCAGTTAAGAGTGCCTCCTGCTCTTCAGAAGACCAAGGTTTGGTTCTTAGTGCCTCTATCTGGTAGTTCACAACTGCCTGTAACTCCAGTTCCGGACGAGCTGATGCTCCCTGACTTCTACGGGCCCCTGCGTGCCCATGGTGGACATAACTCATCCAGGCATACACACATACATATAAATAAAAAAAAAATTGGTTTTGTTTTGGTTTTCTTTGTTTGGTTTTGGTTTTCTGAGACAGGGTTTTGAAATGGTCAGAAGAGGAAGAAATGAAAGGTTAGGAGGAGAGGGAGAGGAGAGAAACTTAACTGACTTGATTTGCAAAGATTTCCTAATAGTAAGAGTATCGATGAGACCAGAGGAAAGAAAGTCAGGGTCTGAGGGCAGCAACCTCCCAACCCCCAGGAGAAGTGCCTACACTACAGACCTCAGCAGTTCTCTGTGCTTCTGTCAGGGCCTTGGGCCAGCCGGGTGGCTCAGTGGGTAACTGAGCTTGCTACTCAAACCTGATGACCTGAGTCCTCAGAACCCGAGTAAACTGAGTCCACAAAGTTGTCCTCAGACTTCCACGTGTGTCATGATCACACATAGACACCGGCAGGCTCTAGCACACACACACACACACACACACACACACACACACACACACACACACACACACACCATGACCCTGGGTTTTCTAGACCTAGGGTTCTATTTTTAGATTATTCTGTTGAAAGGAGACCTTGAGTAAGTTCCCAGCCTCTAATCCTTTTTCTCCATCTGTGAGTGAAACAATTGCAGGATTGTGTGAGGATTAAATGAGAGGCAGTGTTTCGCTCAGAAATGTTTTTATGTTGTTACTGTTCTTGTTTGGGGTTTGTTTTCTTTGTTTCATGCGGAGGATTAAACTCCAGGCCACAATAACATTAGGCAAGAGGTCTACCACTGAGCTACATCCCAGCCCTCAAAAAAAAAAAAAAAAAAAGTTCTATTTTAGCATTGTTGATTTAGAAAAATGTAATCTAGAAGGGCACCGCTATTTGGGGGTTTGTTGCTGTGGTCATCATCATCACTGTTTTTGAGACACAATCTCATTCATGCATCTAAGAGTGACCTCAACTCATTATGTAGCTGAGGCTAGCCTAGGCCTTCCAACCCTCCTACCCTCACCTCCTGAGTACAGAGATGACAAGCCTACCCCATCATGCCTAGCCAGCTAGTTATTAAAATAATTATTGAGCTGGCGAGATGGCACATCAGGCACTTGCCACCGCGTCTGATGACCTAAGTTCGATCCCCCGAAAGTTGTCCTCTTTGACCATACACATGAATAAATAGAATTCAAAAGATTTTTTTACTAAGTAGTCACTGCTCTATCTCTGTCACTGAGACGAGGCAAAGCACCAAGATACTTCAAACATGGTCTACAACCAGAAGCTGTGCATGGTCAATGTCTGGATAGGTCAATGCCACAGAGCTATAAGGCTTACCCTCCTTGGTTCCGGAGAACCTGGCGTGTTTATGGTGACATAAATTTCTTTTATGCCTAATGACTACATAACTTAAGAAAAGTTATGCAATGGGCTGGAGAGATAGCTCCGAGGTTAAGAGCACTGGCTGCTCTTCCAGAGGACCTGGGTTCAACTCCCAGCAATGGCAGCTCACAGATGTCTGTAACTCCAGTCCCAGGAGCTCTGGTTCCTGCATATAAACATACTTGCAGGCAAAGCACTAATGTATATAAATAAAAATTATTAAAAAAAAAAAAAGAAAAGTTATGCAAACTTAAAACAGGACAGATTTCTTTGCTCATGAGAGCCCACACCACACTGCATGGGCCTGTATGTTCCTGAAGTATGGTGCTCAGTGTTCTGGAGACAGCTGTCAGCTCTTGTCCTGCCCTGTCTGCTCCCAGCTCTTTGGAAGAAGCAGTGGGTTATTTGCAGCTGCCCCACCCCTTTCCTGGAGCCAGGGACAGAAGAGAAAGAAGTACAGAATAGCAAAAGTCCTCGTGTTACATGCCAATAGAGTCTGGCGCTGCCAAACAGTGTCTGAGAGCAGTTGCCCCTATTGTCCTAAATATCCCAAAAGAGCCCAGGCTGGTTCTCCCCCCCCCCCTTGATATATTTTTATTCTATGTGCACTGGTGTTTTGCCTGCATGTATGTCTGTGGGAGGGTATCAGATCTCTTGGAACTGGAGTTGCAGACAGTTGTGAGCTGTCATGTAGGTGCTGGGAATTGAACCCAGGTCCTCTGGAAGAGCGGCCAGTGTTCTTAACTGCTGAGCCATCTCTCCAGGCCCCCAAGACTAGTTCTTGATCATGTTTGTGCACTCTGGGTTCTAGTGCCTTCTGCCAGTCTCTGGGTGCTGCTATCCACAAGGAAGATTTGCCCAGTGCTCTTACCAGCCAAATGGGGATAATATTTCTTTGCCTCCAATGCCATTTCCCACGTTCACATTCCCACTGTGTGTGTGTGTGTGTGTGTGTGTGTGTGTGTGTGTGTGTGTGTGTGATGGGAGGAGCCGTGCCACAGGGGACGTGCAGAGATCATATGAAAACTGTGTAAAGTCAGCTATCTCCTCTCAGTTTTATGTGGGTTCTGGGACTTGAACCCAGGTCATCAGGCTTGCACAGTGATTAGTCGACTGAGCCACCACGCTGGCTCTCCTGGCCTGTTTCTGCCCCACCCCCAATTCCTGAGTCAAGTTCTCTGGCTTTTCAATAAATCTCAGGCTTTCCCAGTAGCCTTGCAATCGATGTGTGGATTGCTTCTAAATGCCGAAGTGCTTTTGTGTTACGGTGAACACCCCTGACTGGCTTGCTTGTTTCTGATAGAGCGTTCGGTGGCGTTTGCATTACGCTCACACTCTCCTTCCCATTATTTGCTGGCCTTGCCACGTGAATCTGCTACACCTCCACTCGAGCTTGGCTCCGATCTCCCAGACTCTTCCCCAGGGCCAATGTAGCCTCCACCCTCCTCCCTGCAGCTCTCTGCCTTCCTCGGACCCCAATCTGGGCTCGGACACTTGCGCCCTCAGCCCATCCTGACATCTCAGCATAGTGCGGGCAGGAGAGACATTCTCTCCCGGTCACTAAGCGGCAAGGGGCACAGAGAGGCAGGAAGGAAGTAGAAACTTCTTATTTTTACATTTTTTTGCAAGTTTATTTACTCAGTTTCCGAATTGTGCCGGCTTTGTGGAGGCATGACTCACAGTAATGCTTTGTGGGGGGACTGGAGAGATGGCTCATGGGTTAAAAGTACCAGCTGCTCTTCCAGAGGACCTGGGTTCAGTTTCCAGCACCACGTCAGTCGGCTCACAACATCTGTGACCCCAGTGACAGGGAATCCATCACCCTCTTCTGGCCTCCTGAGGCACCCACTCACACAGGAAGTCTGAGTGAAATTTTTTTAAATACTTTAAGATGGAGATAATTCCTCCATTTTTAAATGAGGAAACAAGGGTTTAAAGAAGTTAGGAAGGACAAAATGAATTATGTCTGGAATCCCCTTGAAAGGAAATTGGCTGGGGCAACAAATGCCTCAGCAGGTCACAGAGTATCACAAGATTGATGACCTGAGTTCAGTCCCCAGAACTCAAGGTAGAAAGAGAGGACCAATACCCCAAAGTTGCCTTCTGTTTTCTACACTCCTGATGTATCACATGTGTACCTGCACACACACACACACACACACACACACACACACACACACACACACTATGGATGGATGAACGTATATGTACATATTATATATAATATTATATATACTATACACACAATAATAATTTAAACTATTTTAAAATAATACATGGGTAGAAGGAAGGAAAGCAGAGTAGAGATGAAGCAGGATTAGCCATGGGCTGATAAACTTTCCAGGCACATAATGAGCATATGGAAGGTAATTATGCTACATGAAATTTTTTGTCTATATTTCAACCTTTCAATTATTAAAAATATTTTTAGGGCTGGGGGTATAGCTCAGTGGTAGAATGCTTGCCTGGTAAGCCTGAGATCATGGGTTAAATTCCAAGGGCCAGGAAAACAAATTCAATTAATTAACAAAACTAAACTTTATAAAGCCAAATGAATAGTAAGTCATATGAGGTCTCTGTCTCAGGCTCCCAGCTTCAGGGCCTGCTCTCCCAACTTCTACATGGGGTTTCTGGCAAGGTCCCTAAAAAGACCCAACCAAATAGAACCGGAAAGTGATATTCAGAGAAGGTAAAGGAGCTCTGGAACCTGTTACCTAACTTCTGCCCCTCTTGTCCACATTCAGCACAGGAAGTACCCACAGCTGGGGCTGGGGAGATGATGGCTGGGCAGGTAAGAGTCCTAACTGCTCCCGCAGAGGACCTCAGCTCTGTCCCCACCACCCACATCCCATGACTCACAACCGCCTGTAACTCCAACTCTGACATGTCTTCTGATCTCCCAGGCACTTGCACTCACATGTGCACATACCCACATACAGACTCACAAACACAAACAAACAGACAAAAAGTCCGGTGACGGTGATGCACATTTTCAATCCCAGCACTTGGGAGGCAGAGGCAGGCAGATCTCTGTGAGTTCAAGGCCAGCCTGGTCTACAGAGTGAGTTCTAGGACAGTTCTGGTCTACAGAGTGGATTCCAGGACAGCCAGGGCTACACAGAGAAACCCTGTCTTGAAAAAAAAGCAAACAAAAAGTAGCCAGGTAGGTGGTGCACTCTTTAAGCCCAGCACTCAGAAGGCAAAGGCAGGTAGATCTCTATGAGTCTGAAGCTAGTCTGGTCGACACAGTGAGTTTCAGGCCAATCAGTCAGGGCTTCATAGTGAAACCCTGACTATAAATAAATAAATGATCCCCCCCCCCCCCGGGCCCGCCGCTGCCGCCTCCACACACACCACACACACACACACACAAAAGATACAGGTAGTAATACCCCTGGCCAGAACAGTGATAAAGGACACACTTTCGATTTTTCTGCTTGCCTTGGAGGAGGTGCCTGCACAGCCCAACCGAGAACTTGGCAGGCAAAGTTTTCTAAAAACACCCAGGCAACAGCTGTCCTTGCATGGTCACCAGACCTGCTGATGCCTGAGTCAGCACCACACCCCTTCCCAGCCTCCCTTGAGAGCCAGAGCTGACTTGCCCTTTCCTGGCTGGGTTGAACAAGTCGGGCCAGCCTGGCTCTGCCCTGCCCCAGCATCCTCCTCAGTGGACAGAACCTGCTACGTGAGTCTGACCTGGAGTCCCCACCCTGGTCTTCTTGTCATCCAGAGCTGTGACAAGGTTCAGCCTCAGGGTTCAGCTCTGAAGAGGGCCTAAACGATGGTTCTCAGTCTGTGGGCCTTGTGACCCAACAGGGGTCACAGATCAGATATCCTGGGTATCAGATATTTATATTATGATTCATAACAGTAGCAAAATTACAGTTATGAACTAGCAATGACATGATCTTACGGTTGGAGGTTAGCACAGCATGAGAAAGGGTATTAAAGAGTCGCAGCATTAGGAAGGTTGGGAATCACTGGCCTAAAGGATGACCAGGCTTTAATCCCCGCACTCAGGAGGCAGAGACAGGTGGATATCTGGGTTTGAGGCCAACCTAGTCTATGTGGCTACATGGAGAAGCCCTGTCTCAGAAAAAAAAGCAGAAGGAGGAGGAGGGAGAGGAGGGGGAAGAGGGAAGGGAGGGAGGGAGGAAGGAAGAGAAAGAGAGAGAGAGAAGGAAAGAGAGA